TTTCCAAACTAAAATAAATATTTGAAAAAGCTACTCTTTATAGGTGAAAATATGAAAGATTGGACTTCATATATATCACAACTAATCATCTATTTCGATATTTTCTAGGAAATCTGTGAAAATTCATATAGGCATGCATGTGTGTTTTATAAGATAATTTTATACTCGTTTTTATAAGGGTTTGATAATATATATTATGACACACTTTTTAGGTTTTTATTTATTTTATGGGAAACATTTTCTGGGACACATGTGGTTTTTTTACTGCCTCTCGTTTATTCTTAAAAAAGTGCGTGGACACTTTTGTCGTGGACAAGTTTTCATATGTACGTGTTTTATGGGAAAAAGTTAATGGACAAAAAATTATGGACGTAATATTAAGGTCTAATAATATCCATTGACAGATTATATATTGTGGACGTGAAAACATTTTTGAAATGGTTATGACTACAAAATAACAAATATAATTTAATTACTAGAAACTTGTATATAACTCCAAAACAATACATAGCAAAAATAAAAACACATTTGTTTCGGTACACATATATTAATTTTCAATATTAATAAAAATTATAGTTTCATAAACAAATCAAGAAGAAATAACATGTATATCAACATTGGTTTATCAAAAATCCAAACAATGCAAAACCCATAATTAATCAAATCTCATAAACAAATCAAGAAGAACAAACAAATTCAAAATTTAGATATAAAATCATGGAAAATTTATTGATTTTAACTTATAGATCATTAGTATGATAAACAAATTGTCTATTAGACCCTAATAACACGTCCATGATTTTTTGTCCATTAACTTTTGTTCACACGTTGTTTTTATTTATAGCGCGTCCATATGCATGTTCATGACAACGTGTCTGCAAAAAATGTCCACACACATTTTTTAAAACGAGTGAAAGGAAACTTGGACAACATGTGATTTAAAATAAAAAAAAACATAAAAAGTGTTACTGTGTAATTATTCTTTTTATAAGTTAAATTTATATTGCTGTATTTTAAGTTTTTTAATTTACTACATTATCAAGTATAATCATAAAAGTCAAATCGGACAGACTGGCTCAAAGTTGACCAAGAGAGAAGTAACCATAGTTTATACTTTATAGAAATATATATAGTTCTGATTGGTCACCGCAACGTATACTGTTTTTGTTATTTAGGTTTGCGGGTAAAAATATTCTGTAAAACTATAAAAATAGTGTTACACAAGATAATACTAC